TGTATATAGAAATATAGATTAGAAGCCCAGGGCTTACCCCCTGGCGGCCTTTGTCCCAATAGGGAATTGTGGGAAGCGTGCTTGTCACGACCCACGGCCGTTAAATACACACACACACACACACACAGATACCCCTGATTCCTACAATTCGCTTCCCCGTCAGGAAGCAGAGATGCCACAAACCCTTCAACTCTACAGCAGGAGATCACATACTCTGCTGCCAAAGAAGATCAAAGTAATATCCTTCACAAGTTGACGTTTGTGCCCCAGAGGAACAAGTTCCTCAACCATGTATATCAACACCGTCACTTGATTGAGGCAATAGTGTCTCATCATCTACACCTTCGCTCAGGAGAAACTTGTTAAGTGTCCCAGCCAGATGAGTGGCTACATGGAAGCTTCAACCTTTGTATTCCTGTGCACATCAACAAATCTGGACGAGCCCACAAGAAAAGGGTACTAATCAGGTTTCCGCTACCATATCGAGTTGGTGAAGCTTTCCGACCCGGCAATACGGATGAGAAGCTTCGCTGCGAGGCTGGAACATATGCATGGCTGCAGCAGAAGTGCCCTTCCGTCCCTATACCACATCTATATGGGTTTGGGCTATCAACAGGTCAATGTGTACGTATGGCAGATCTATGGAATATCGCAGATTCACTAACTCAGGGCAGTTTACGGCTGTCGAGAACATGCCATTTTTTACCCGATGTCTTCATTACCTCCGCTGCCGCTTGCTAGCATTCTTTGGGTACCAGATTCCGACGCGATATGTCCCTCACCCTAACTGTATCCCTCGTGATCTGGGAACAGGCTATCTTCTGATAGACTTTATCGAGGATGGCCAGATGCTTTCAAACACATGGAACGAGAAACATGGCGACAAAAGATTACGAAAGAATCTCTTTCGAGACCTGAGCAAGATCCTTCTAACTCTTAGTCGAGTTCCCCTGCCGAGGATCGGATCTTTTGTCATTGATACAGACGGTTACTTGGGTTTGTCAAATCGGCCTCTATCTTCCGAGATCCATGAGCTTGAAAATGAGCATATCCCAGTTGATATGCCTCGGAGCTTCACGTATTCGACGGTTGACTCTTACGTGGTTGACCTCCTTGCCTGCCACGACAGCCGCATGCAACATCAGCCTAATGCAGCCATGGATCTGAAGGACTGTATTTACCAGGTCACGGCCTTGACAATGATGAAAACAATATTCCCCCATTTCTTCCAACGGGACCTTCGTCGTGGACCTTTCATCCTTCAGCTGACCGACCTCCATCCAAGTAATATCTTTGTTGATGACGACTGGAATATCAGATGTGTGATTGACCTAGAATGGGCGTGCTCACGTGCAATTGAAATGCTACATCCCCCAACCTGGCTGACAAATCAGCCTGTGGACAAAATAGACCTGGAGATGTACAACAAGGTCCGTGAAGAATTTATGGGCATCCTTCAAGAGCAAGAGAAAGTACTCCATGCCAAAGCCGGCGATACAACATCACTCTCATCAGTCATGGAAAAGGGATGGAAGACGAGAACATTCTGGTACAGCCTCTGTCTACGAAGCCCGTTAGCTATCCACCAGTTATTCTACGACCGGATTCAGACAAGGTTTGCAGAGGGACATATCGACGACGGCGACTTCTTCCGAATCACCATGAACTATTGGAAGGAAGGAGCGATTCCCTTTATGCATGCCAAGGTTAAAGACAAGGAACAATATGATTCGCAACTACAGGAAGCATTCGAGGACTGAGAAAGAAAGAAATTTGGACACGATGACGATTGGCTATACTGTCTAGCATGGATCCTACCTACCTCAGCGTCTACATCGCCCCGGCTCCAAACTGAGGCTCCTCGGTCTGCGAAGGATGAGACAGCGGCATCGGCACCGGCATCGCCGATTCTATGTCTGACCGCCAGTGCTTTGGTGAGTTGTGCTTTTGCTTAACGGGGGACCTTTGGGTTCTGTTACTGCTACACAAGCGGATACCACGGCTTACTCCTCTCGCTTTGTTAAATACGCGGTGGCAAACGCATCGGAGCCAGCGCATTAGTGGACGGAGTGTGATCAGACTTCCAGCAGTGATGCCGAGACCGGCCTCGATGTTTGACGAGATAGCGATACCAGTGGTGGCATCTGAAAAAAGAGTCAGTTATTAGGTGCTTTGAGGTTGTCAGAACCTCCATTCCATCGTGCAAGACACTGACACAGGAAGTCCGGATCTTTATAGTTCGGAAGATAGGGAATGCGGACCGCGACGGCAGCGCCTGCACTAAAGAGCTGTCAGCATGGGGAGTCCTCTTCAGACTGCCGACATTCATAACGTACACGCATCCCATGCTGAGAACGATTGCTATCGCCCATTTGGACCGCCGACTCATATGCAAGTCCTTCAGAAGATAGATAGGAAAGAGTCCCAGGGTGAAGTCGCAAAGACAGGCAGTTGCACTATAGAGGTACGCAATGTCCAGTACATAATTGGTGTCAATGCAGTGGCCTCCGCCCGTCCGTTCCCAGAATTCGCTAACTGGATGGCACTGCAACATCAAGATAAGCCAGAAGGCGAGACCGACAGTGGACGTTAGACCGATTACGATATACAGGACGGCCGATTCGCGCCGCCGGCCGGTAAGACGGAGAAGCAGCATTGCGATGGAGATTCTTGCGGTCGCCACGACCCAAACATAGGCGCTCTGGCCGAGCCACCACCACTGGTTCATGTAAGGTAAATGTTATGAGCAATGCTCAGCTTCTGGAGCTAGAATTAGAACGTACCAGGAGAGCCGTTTGAACATCTGCTCTCGTGTTGAACTGGTCGAATCTTTTCCCAAAGCCAGCAACTGCTCCAGCCAACCCGCATGTTGCGAACCAGATGTCAAATAGCTGAGAACTGAAGCATCAGTCGCGCTTTCATCGCCCATGATGGTCATATGTGCTCACATACCATTGCTAACACCATCAAGCCATCATCCCATCCAAAGGCTTTCACCAGTCTCAGCCGGACAAAGCACCGCAGAGCAACCGCAATAAATGACAGACACAGGAACACCAGGGTCACTGCGAATAGCGCCCTGCTGCGGCCCTGTAATGTCATTTTCAATCAGAATATTCATGCAAGCCAAACGTCGTTACTTGATAACCTAGGTATCAACGCGGTATTTGCACCACAGGCTGCAACTCTGCCGTTCCGTCAGTGCAGGTCCCAAGACAGTAAGTCTGAATATGGCCATCATCGACAGAAGAAGATCGTCCGGAATATTGCCGAGGTCGAGGAGCACAATCTCAAAGCCCTGCAGGACAAATACCACACTGCACTGCCTACACGGTTTGATAGGAGTGTCGGAAGTTTGTAGCTTGCAGATGAAGGTTCAAGAAGAGGGTTGCTCATTTTCCGCCCACAGCAGAGACAGAGAATGTAGCATGTTCTGCAAGACGGTCCACGGAAATTATCATCGTTCTACTGACCACAACGTCAGCGTCAACGACGACTGAGACTGGGTGGAAGTAGCACTTGGTGGCGGCGGCGAATTCCTTGGATGCTGCTTTACCCCGCATCCTATGAATCTGATCATCTGGCAGAACTTTTAATGCGATTACAGTAGCTCCGTCAGAACTCAGAACGAACAACTATGCCTTTGATTGGATGAGGAAAGATCTCGGGGCTTGTATGCTCAGGGTCAATGAACCCTGCCTTAGGGCCTTATCCTACTGCCTACTAGCTTAGATAGTAGAAGACGTCCAAAGGCTAGTACCCTTCAAATTCCTCCTGGTCCAAGTTAACTATTGCTTGTTGCAGAAGTTGGGTTTAAAAATCTACTGACCTATTCATTGTCTGCCGCTGATTTAGCCCTCCTTGTTGTAGTTATTGCGCTCAAGTATGTATCCGACTATACTGCGAGAACTAAAACCAAGGGATTCTTCATTTCCGCTTCAGCCGACTTTCGAAAATGACATCCAGAATACGGGCACACAGTGACTACACGGTCGCCTAGCTCAGCCCCTTACCGTTGGAAATGGCCGCTGCGAAGCTTATACTAGACAAGAAAGAGCTCAGAACTCTTCTCCTCGCAATCTCATATCTCGGATACTGTTCTGCTTTAGGACCACTAAGGGCTCCATGGCCTCGTTCTTGCGGGGTGGGGAGGGAAGTTCTCATTGCGAGCGTTTTCTAGCTTATGAATAAGACTGTGATTCCATCCTTGACTCCTTCTTACTCTCCTTGTTTCCTCAGAACCCCTGGTAGATAACGCTCCCACCCTCTTTCTGCAGGTGGACCTGGAGAAGTGGGCGCATCGAGCGGATGTGAACGAGGTCTGGGAGGGGCGACTAACCCGCTGAGCTGCATCCCTATCTTCATGGATGCGATACTCAAATAGTGTTACAATTTACTATTCTCAAGTATCTCTATGTGGCTGTACACATCCAAAGCTAGAACACTGCGAGTCCAGCATTGATATATGATAGACCCGCATGCGAGACTAGTTACATCCGGAAAGTGTTGGCTCACATATAGTTTCTCAACCTCGTCACTATCTCGGTCTGCGTACGGATAACTTCCGGTCATGATGAAATAGATCAATGACCCAAGGCTGAATATATCATCCCCAAAGGTAGGCGGAGCGTCCCAGTCAAATTGTGGATGTCGAAATCTGGTCTCGGCCACCGCCGAAGGCTCAGAGCCAGATAAAGAGGCACCACCGAAATCAGAGATTTTCAGGTTCAGGTCAAGGTCCAATAAAAAGTTTCTCGGCGAGACATCACAGTGAACGACATTAATGGAATGTAGAGCGGCTAATCCCTCCGCTGCCTGCTTAGCCCAACGAAGACGAAGCCCAGCTGTCAAATTTTGGCCATGCTGCCGAATATATGCTCCAATGTCCCCATTATCCATATATTCCAGTGTTAAACAACATGTATCCGAGTCCCAGTTGATAAGTCTGGGAACACGAGAATGCTCGCCTAACTTTTTGGTAAATCTCAGCCTCGACACGCATATTTCGGCAATGATCATGGTGGAAATCAGGATGTGGCTTCGGTGTTTTAATCACGTCGCCAGAGGGTAGACGCTCGAGGATGGCAGTGCCACCCCAAGCGATGAATTTGCCTTTTGTAACGTAGACAACCTGTCCTGGCTGGGGCTTCGGAATGTTGTGTTGGCGCCCCTCCCACGGCCCCGGGACAGTGATGTACGAAATAGCTTGAGGGGGCCTGCCTGATGCATCTGCGTTCCTGGAAGCAGTAGTGGCACTTTGCTAGTGAAAAATGAGACCTCGGTTATCCTTCAGTTAGGGATACCCTTACGTTCTCCGGATCCAAGTTGTATGTTTCATTCAACCATGCGCCGTCAGTGACAGTCTTCAAGGGATGCCAGATCAACCTGCCAAAAAAAAAGGGAAAGGAGGTTTATGACCCCGTTTACGCGAGTGAAAATGGCATGCTGCAGTGACGATAGAACTGAGAACATGATAATAAATTGGGCAGTTACAAGTTAACAGCCATTGAGGTACGAACGAAAGGAGATGCGAGTTCAGTGAGATACCAATTTGGATTCGGATTCGGATTGACTAATACACCGTAATAGCCAGTCATAATCTTTACATTTAATGGAAGACTGCAGTAAACCCCTGCTATAGCAAGCCCTGATATAGCAAGAACCCCGCTGTAGTGCGAAGAAACAATGAGAAATCTTATTGAACCCATTTATCTCTTAGATCTGGACAGAGGATGCGGAAGAAATCATTTTCTTATTCTCTACTCCAGCATCTGGCCCACGCCAGTGTTGCTCGTGGCTTTCGAAACGACCCTTTTCTAAATCTGAGACGGTCCTTGCCTGCGATCAGCAAACCCAGTCTGTTTATAGTCTTCTCCTGCCACCTCTTATACTTATAGATTCTAATAAATGCCAGCGTCGAAAGCAGGTAGCCAAGATGATCTGTTTCGATATACCTCCGGCCGATGGCTGATCAACGAGAAAGACCAACTTCAGCAACGTTTTGTGAAGTTTGATGTCGAGAGCCTCTGTTATCAAGCTTCCTCTCTGTTCAGCCATGCGACGAAATGCGTGCGCATTGTCAAGTTGGAAGGAAACTTTAACAAAGCTTTCCTGCTCACAATGGACGACGGCAACGAGGTTATTGCAAAGATTCCTTGTCCGAATGCGGGGACGCCCTCCCTGACGACGGCGTCCGAGGTGGCCACGTTGAGCTTTTGTGCGCTTCTCCTTGTTATTCTCAATGTTTCTGTCACACTTACATGCTTGTTAGTGCGCTCGTATACTTCAATCCGGGTTCCGGAAGTGTTAGCTTGGAGTTCTGACCCAGCCAATCCAGTAGGCGCTGAGTATATCATCATGGAGAAGATTCCAGGAGTTCCGCTCGCCGAAAAATGGGAAACAATGAAGACTTTGGAGCGCTACAAAGTCATCGACCGAATTGTTGGAATGGAGAAAGAGCTTGAGAGCCTGCAGTTCCCGGCCTATGGGAGTCTCTTTCTACGGGAATCCGTGCCGTCTGAATATCGCCATTACGCGCTGTCCCCAGCTTTGGATCCTGCCGAATTGTTCTGTGTTGGGCCTTCATGTGATCGGCCAATGTGGCATGAATGCCTTGCTGATGAGTCCACAGCTGTGCAGGATGTCGGCCCATGTGAGTCTTGTGTTCTTCCTTGCTTTATTATGTGGTCCTGACACTTTCCAGGGCCCTCCCTTTCGGATTTTGCGCTATCAATTCCACAACGAGAACTAAAGGCCATTGCAAATGAGCAAGCTGAGGTACAGCATCATCTCAATCAATTTAGCGAGAGGCAGTCCGTCAACGAACACCGCGACCTTCTACAAAAGGCGAAGCATATTCTTCCTATTCTGTCGCATCATCCACGTGTGGTAGAAGTGGCGGGACCAGTCCTATGGCATACTGACTTGCATTTGGGAAATATTTTCGTTTCCCCTGACGACCCAACCACCATCGAAGGAATAATTGACTGGCAGTCGGCTCAGATTGCTCCCCTGTTCATACAGGCTCGATTCCCGGAGTTTCTGAGGCCGCCAAAGGATTACAACACTGGCGCCGAAATCCCCAGTTTGCCGGACAACTTTGAGGAATTAAATCCCGAGCAGAAAGACCGAGCTATTAAGGACAAGGTACTGGCCACCCAGTCTAAATACTATGAAATGTCTTGCCTTGCATACAACAAGCGCGTTCACGAGGCAATGAAGCTTGGCCGCAGTCTATGGGAGCCTTTTACGTGTTGCCAGCTTTTCTTGAACGGCAGTATGGTTCCACTGCGAAACTCTCTGGTACGCATTTCACAGGACTGGGGGTGTTTGGGACTTCCAGGGAGCTGTCCCTTTGTGTTTTCTGAAAAGGTGTTAGACATGCACAATGAAGAGGTAGTGAAGTATCAGGACATGCTTTATTTGCGCGACATTGTGAAGGCCCAGCTCTGCACTGATGACACGGGTTGGATCCCAATGGAACGATGGGAGAAGACAAACGAGATGAATCAATATCTCTTCGATATGTATGTCGAGACCATGAGTCAGGAGCTACCACCAGATGCAGCCGCGAAGACATGGCCCTTTCCGCCTAAAGGCTCTTGCGTTTGATATGAGTCTGGACTCTTCTTTGCTTGTCCACTCAATTCCACACCATGCAAATGCAGAAATCGATCTATATCGCTCTTGACTGAGAAAGATATGCAGCCACAGGTCATTCATGATCTACGCCATGGCCCTCCCTGCAGTCCCCTGATCCCCCCAGCCCTGTTCAGGCTACAAAGTCACAGCCTCCGAGCTTGAAACATTTACTCAGCTTCAGTGGAGGGTTGCAAGATACAGGCTGCCTGGAAGTTCTCTATCTCCTCGTGCAGAACGCAGCCGAGCGTACAAACTCCGACACACTACTCTACCTTGACGGCGCATCGCCAGACCAGCCGGCATGCTGTTCTGAATAGCTTAGCAACACTGTACAGCGACAGCGGCAGCTTGCTCCCTGGGCACACGGCAACAGCACGAGACAGGTGGTACAGCTAGCGATCAACGCGGACAAATTGGATTGAAGCTCGCTAATACGCGGACGAGCCATGCGAGGTTTCAGGGCTGGGAGAGTAACCGCCACTTCCTGCTGAACCAGGGGGCGATGGTCCAGGCGCGCATATCCCACGGTTGCATTCCCGGGGCGGATGAGCATACAATCCCCCCTCTTTCGACGATGTCTAGTTTGAAGTCGACTGCGTCGAGGAGGGATGGCGCGGTGGCAGCGAAGGTGATTGCTTTTGCTCTCAGCGCAGGCAGCGGGAGCAGGTCGAGGAGCGGGTGATGCGGGAAGAGAATCTGGGGGAGGGTCGGGCGGAGATGGACTGGGATGGCTGGATGGGTGACTCTAGCCAGGAGGAATGCCGGATCGTCCGACATGGCGGTGTAGGGACGGTAGAAAGGCGAACACAGGGACATGCAGTTGTAGCTGGCGAACTGGGCGACGCTGATGCCGAGGGTTGCGGCGTTGTAGACGCAGGCTGTGAGGAGGAGGGTGTAGGTGTTGAACAGGGGGGGTTCTGGCGGTGTGGTTGTTTCCTCTTCGACGTTTTCTTCCTCGTCGCTTTTCCTGTCTGGGTTACGTGATGGAAAGAAATGATCTACCGTCAGCATCACGGGCACGGGCACGGGCATGCGTGTCTTCCTAGGCACATCCAGAACCTCTTCACCGTCGGTATTAATCGGTGCAGGCGCAGGTGCAGGCGCAGGCGCAGGTCTCAACTCCCGTTTCGAACCAGCCTGCTCCTGCTTTCCCGTGAGAAACTCTCTCCGTCGTTGCCCTGCAACACATCAGCACAGAACACCCCACACAGACAAATAACGCACGGTACGCCCGCTGAGCGCGACGATTCTGTTCCCGTCGAGCGGGGGTGATGATCCTCTTGGACTTGGACATTGCGTCTGGCTCTCGGGTAGATCGCATTTGATGGCTTATTGTCATCTATTGCCCATATACAGTGTATTGAAGTGTGGGATAATAGTGGGAGGTTGCATGGAGGAATCATAGACCGATGGCTTACGCAAATCGACCAATCGGAGCACAGCATTGTTTACCGAATAGCATCATACTGTCCGCCATAAGCCAAGCATAAGCCAGTGCAAACAGGACCGGATGTTCTTCTCTGGCATTAGGTATAAAGAAGTACGCACTCTCACCGACCAAACCACTAAACAAGACACGCTCCGCTCCGCAAACACAATCATGTCCCAAAAAACCATCGTCGTCACCGGCGCAACAGGAACCCAAGGCTCCGCCGTCGCGCACACCTTCCTCTCCCTGCCCACCTGGCACGTCCGCGTCCTAACCCGCAACCCCTCCTCCCCCGCCGCCCAAGCCCTCGCCGCCGCCGGCGCACAGCTCACGCACGCCGACCTCGCCGACCCCCCCTCCCTGCGCGCCGCCTTCACCCACGCAACCGCCATCTTCCTCAACACCGCCTTCTGGGGCCCCTACCGCTCATCCCGGGAC